AAATTAAAAGTCCACGAGAGGAATTGACAAGTGTAGTAAGTTGTGTATTATAAGTTTTCACTAGTTCATGGATTATCTAGCTAGATGCTAATTACTTTTGAAGCTCCTGGAAATTTGTCGACTCTCCGAAATCTAATCTCCAATCTGATACGGGCTTAACGCGTAGGTCCATATAATCTCCTTCATTTGATCGAAAAGTGAGCTCACAGTATGGAACATCATTTCAGATAATTTTCAGATGAGATAGCTTTTTTTTTTATCTAAGACGAAGATGAATATATTTTGCGTTTCTTCCATCCGGATAAAGATATGGACGTTCTATTTCTTCATCCGGGCGATTATTTAGATAATTCTATCTAGGTTACCGGCGAACACTCGTAATATTATCTATCGAAAGCGGGCCGTTCACCTCTCGGTGGGCCTCGATCGATACGATAATCAGGCTTCGCACGGCCGCGAAGTCTTCGAAGTCGCTTGCACTTGATTTACAGCTTCCTCCCGCATGGATCGTGCAGCAGCAGCAGCAACGACAGCGGCAGCAGCAGCGGTGGTAGCGTCGGCAGCAATTCAGTGCGCGGTGAATTGTGCTGAGCTCGTGCCGGCAAGACGACGTACCGGTGATTTGCATGCGAGCTCACGGCCAGTATGGGAGGGAACGGGTATAATTTGGCAGGTAAGCCGCCCGGCCGGCGTGTCGCGTGTGTGACGTTCGGTCAACGGCAATTAACAGGTACCGTACACCGTCCGTCGAATCGCGCCCGTTCGACATCACTCGCGAGAGGGGAAGAGACAAAGAGTGAGAGAGTGAGAGAGAGACTTTCGCAAAATGTTAAGGCCTGTTTACACGGGTTGCAACACGTAAAATATAGCATCGAGAAGATTTCTTCAAATTTCATCAATTTCATCGCATCCAAGCAATTTTCATCACCGGTATGCTCCGGAAACGAATGTTTCGATTAATAGGTACGATTGTTGAGGACTCTTCAACGAATACGTATCTTTATCTTGAATAAAAAATTGATCTGAAACGAAAGATAATTTTCTTATGAAGTAATTATTTGTCATTTTACATATTTATTTATTACATTTTTACATATTTATTTATTTGTGTGGACAGGCTTTGACCGTGCGAACGGCGGAGGCACAGCGAGCATGGCATTCATCGGCGGAATTGCCCCGCTCTGGAAAAGATTTGCGCACAGAGAGAAAGAGAGAGAGAGAGAGAGAGAGAGAAAAGGCACCCCGAGTACTTCGTAATTTTATTTATCTTAATTTGATTGGATTCCGTAGGAATTAATTTAATAAACGTAATCGCATCGCCCTCCGTAGTCGCGAGCGCCCTCCCGGCCGGGCAGGGAGAGAGATTTAAAATTCAATCTGAGCTTTAATTATGGCGACATTACTGTGACATGGAAAATTGAAGGGTTGATTAAAAGGTTGTAGTGCAAATTGAAGTTGCCCATTAAATTTTCGAGAAGTAGCCTGCTATATTTCAATTTAATTTCATAAAACGGATAAAGTTCGTTTGGCGAAATTCACTGTGGCACGCAACGACGATGCGTTCACTTAACAAAGCATGCCGCGTACGAAGGCGCCCCGAAACTGAATAAAATACTGAATAAATACAGCGTGTCGCGGCCTCATGATGCACGCATAGTGAACAATTAATTAAAGTTCTCTTGCTTACTAATTAGTTTACTACTAATGTGCGGGAGATATTTTCCGAAATCCCCCGCTCTTCGAACGCGGCATTGCGCGCTCCGCGAATATCGTCCAATTTGTGTGATAATATCATCGCGCGCACTTCAATCTCTGTATTATATAATATGAACATCGGCGATATCGCATTCTCCGCAAACAATATCACGCCAAATACAGAGGACTGCGTTACTTTCAATCGACGAATATAATATACGCAACAAATATTCGTTGTTTATTAGCAACGCACCCTTATTAACGCGGTCCCGCGATAATTACCGCGTGTAACTCGAGTATCGTCAATGCATAGTCGGCCTTATATATCCTCTGCCATTTCCTACATTAAAGCGTTTTACTATTATACAGGGTGTCCCAAACTAATATTGGTTCCCATGGTGCGCAAGTAGAACGGGTGAAATTGAGCGGAAAATTCCAGCACCATTTTGCAAATAACACGCAAAATTTCCAGTTATCAATGATTGACAATGGTTATTTATAGAGGCTTCTTTAATTGAAATGGGAACTGAGATTAGTTTCACTATATAAGGGAATATAAAAAATATAAAGGAGATACATAAAGATGTATGAAAGAGAGAGGTAAAACGACGACTTTAAGCTCGATTTTTTTCTCATTTTCGTACTAACGTAAAAATAACGATCAATTTTTTTTCCGTGCAGCCAAAACTTTGCCTATCTGCGTAAACTGAAGAATTTATCGAATATATCAATATTTTGTAGAATTTAAATTTTCTGCTCAATTTCATCCGTTCTACTTGCACGGGAATCAAGATTAGTTTGCGACACCCTGTGCATATATATAAATAAATATAAATATAATTATAAATATAAATAAATTTATATATTTAGTGACTTAATTATTTATTTACATTAACGTTTATATAATAATATTTATATTATACATATATATTTATACATACTCGTTAGATGGTAACGTTCGTGGCTCGTTGGAAAAATGCGAAACGGCTGGGAAGGATTGTGGACCGATAATTGATCGTCGGCCGGCAATAATCGTTTCGAGCCGCTCTAATTGAATTCTTTATAGCCGGCTCGGAAGTCCGTACGCTCACGTTTATACAAACGGAGTATTTCCCTCTTTACGACCTTGCGCGGCGCGCGCATTTCTACAAACACGCATTAACGGGGGACTTAACGACGGGATCCGCTGACAAAGCTTCGTCAAAGGACCTTCGGGGGTGAGCAGCTCGCTGATACACTCGCGCGTTTCAAACACGTCGACTCGATTAAGTTCGCTCTAAATCGGAGATACGGCGAACGCGATCTCTTAACGACTCTCTCGCGCGATTTTGACAGCGCCGGCACGTGTTACACCTGCTGGAGGACCTTCCTCCTCCTCTTCCTCTTTCTCTCTCTCTCTCTATTTCCGGAGCAGCTTTGGCAAACTAGATCTCGAGTTCGACGCGTTCAATGCGCTTTGCAATACGCGAACTCCGGCTCCTCCATGCCGTCTGTCCGCATTTATACGGTCCTCGTCTCGGTCGCTTCAGATATAAATTCAAGCGAAACTCCTCTTCTACGACGGCCCGGTATCAATGACGGGGGAACAACATCCAGACGTCGCGCGTTTCCCCGCTACTGTTCGCTGTTCTTGCGTATTGTGCTTCTCCGGCGGGGCCTACCAGCTTACCGCTACCCGGGGAACGAGGCCGACAATGACAACGAGACGAAGACGACAACTACGATTACGGACGACGATGACGACAACGATGACGACGACGAGGTTGTTCCATTTAATTAAGTTTGCATTGTACCGAAGTACACGGCTGCAGCGAAAGATCGTTATCGAACCCTCCCTCTCTCTCTCTCTCTCGCAAGATATGACAACGGCAGCGCATTTATCAGAAGCGATCTACCCGGGGCGAATGAACGAATGGCTCTCTCTGTCCGTTGCTCGAGATTCGCTTCCTAACGAGATCGAGAAAGCCATCGGCGCTGCTTCGCTCTTCCTTCTGACAATCCGGCGCTACGTACGCCGCGTTACAACCGAACTCCTGGATCATGTACTTTTCACACAGTATATATACACCGTCTTCTGTATGAAAGAAAAGTAATCTATAGGGGTGGGAAATTCAAAACACTGAAAACGCACATTTCATTTGCACCAACCTAATATATTCGTAATTTTTCATAGATTTTTAATAGCACTCGTGCGAAATTTAAATAAGCAAAGACGAAAATGACTTCTGTACACCAAATTTAACCTTTCAACTGTTTTATGGGTCGTACAGATCGGGTGAGTTGTGTTTAAAAAGTTTGCAGAGCGAAGAGAAGTACGTGATCTTCCTACTCCCGGAAAATCGTTAAAATCACTTTATCCGTTAGACGGTGGCGCGGATCCGATAAGCCGATTAACATCTATTTGGAAACCGTTCGAATCTGAAGCAGTCAATTAGACACCTATAGTGTGCAGTCAATATATAATTTGATACCAGAAATAAAGTGATTCTTTTTGATGAAAATTGAACGTAAGTAAATAAGCATTTTAATTGCGCGTAGATTTTTCATTCCTGAAAATAATAAATAATAGTATTATATTAGGGTTATACAGGATCAGATAGTGTGTAATTCATGCGAGCGCGTCCTGCAAAATGTGATCCTAAATTATTGATTATTTTTTCAAACAACGCGTGCTATTATTTTGCAAATACAAAAAATAAACTACTTTTGATATTTTTACAACATGAATATTTTTCCCCATAAAATATGTCGACAATTATCGACGCTTCAAAATACTCCCTTTTCAGTAATCCGAAAAATATATTTTTTGGACGCGTATTGGAATTATATTTTTTTTTAGAACTATCTTTCAACTTCATTACCCCGAATCGACAGACGAAGATAAAAAATGTATAGAAATTACGATGCCCTAAGTGAAAACACTATCGCTCTCTAAATTCGCATATTTCTCGATAACTTAGAACTTGATTTTCGACGAATGCGTGATCAAACATTAAAGTAGAAGAATTACGCTTTATTATAGAATTCTGTTAGCCTCTTTTCTTTCACAGATTTTAATTACAGCTATTTTTATTAATCGTACATAAGAGACTTAATAAATATGTATGAAATAACAAACGGATATAACTAATTTTTTTATATAATGCTTGCGTGCGCAGAGTATCTAATATTAAATTCTCAATTTTCACGAAGAAACGACGTGAGATTTAAATCGCGTCGGTTTTGCGCGAGGAATCGAACGCTTCGTTAATAAAAATGCATTCTCTTCAATCAATAATACGAAGCGAAAAATCCTTTCACACGATTCATGGATACTCGCAGGCCTTCTCGCACGCCTCCAGTGTCGGGAAGTTATTATCGTTTCCCTTGCAGCCGCCATAGACAAATTCGACGCATTTCTTCTGCGCGGGGTTGTAGCCATATGTGATTGTGTGGGCTCTGCAGGGTCCAGTCATGAGTGGCTCATCGCAGACTGCAAAATTCAAGCGTTCCGGTCGGAATGATATATGAATGAAGCGATAATCGCTGCTTCCTCGATACACACCGTGAAAACAATCGGCGAAATTAACACGTGTCGCGTGTAGATTCCGTTAATGAAAACTCCATTAACGCAGATCCACTCCCTAAGCATAATAACATTGAAAATTCCCGATCGGGCGGATCGTTTTCGAATGTCCGTCCGTCATGATTGCAGCTTTAAAGCTTCTTTGCCGATTCATCGAATAATCGACAGTCGTGATGCACGAATATTCGGACGGAGAAGAGAGATTTTGCCGGAACAACAAATGTCTGTTAATATAATGACAGCAAAAAAATTTTGTTTAGACAGCAAAAAACTTGTTTCGATAGCAGAAAGTTCTAAGGGTATTAATTGACATTTGCTGGATATATGGGCAATTAATACTCAGTATATCGACAAACATTTGCTGTTCTAGCAAAATTTGTTTTCCCCGTGCGGACGTGATCGCGCATGGTTGAAAATTAATGTCGGTTTACGTGGAAATTAGAACTGCATCGAAGGAGTCTTACGAATTTGAAAACGACTCGAACGCTTCTTTTTCTTGCCATTTAGGACGCAGTCGATAATCAAATAAAAGGACTTATTTCTCAAAAACGAGTTCTCCAATCGTTTGTGTCTCGAACTGCGTCAAAATAAATGTTCAAAGCATTTTTATTTTTTTCAATGTAACACATATGGTATGGCCATTCACAAAAAGGTTGCGAAGATTTTTTTTTTATAAATTCCAGAACGCATTCTGTGTCCGAACAGAAGAATTGAATTCTTAGTGATCCTCCAGGAGATACATTTTTCTATTGCGTACGAGATACGTTGCGAGATTCGTCGGAAAAGGTGTCGCAACCTTCTCGAATGAACTGAATTTTTCCAGGCCAGATTTAGTTCAGCTCCGTTTAGGCTAAAAGTTCACTTTCAACGGGCATGCGTGGATTGCCGGCCTACGAGAAGTCACATAAAATTCCCGGACAGCGCATCGTCCAAAATCGGGGCACGAGATGTCTTTAAGATGTTTTAAAGACGATTTAAAGACTTATGTTACGATATCTTCAAGACAACTTAAAGATAAAAGCTGTTTAAAAGCTGTCTTACATCCCGATTTTGGAAGATTCGCATTTTCCGAGTTAGTCAGCACGGAATGTGTTGACACACCGCGTTTTTTAAACTAAATTTTGTCAAATCCTTCTCTCAGTGGAAGATGCGAAACGCGTTGTTAACGTTATCTGGATTACGTCGGAGTGTACTTGCCTGCCGGTGATGCACTGGAATAATCGGGAAACGCGAAGGCGTAGACGACCACGACAAGAACGATTGCCAGCGTCTTGGCGTCCATGACGTTGGAAGTTTTCGATTGTGTTTTACTGTGTTGTCGATTTTGAGGATTACGTCTCCGTTAGCGCGTCCCAAGTTTATATACGCACACTAAACGTGGCGTAGCAGATCACTCGATGAAAGGCGACATCCGATCGACGAGGCTCGGCGACGCCTCTGTGTTTGCGCAGCTTGTGTACGTGAAAGAACGTCTTTCTCGTCACCAACTCTCGATCGAAATTAACAGATCCGCCAGCATCGAATCTGCACACTTCGGGATCGACACTTTGAGTGCAAGTGTTCGTTCAATCGAGACACCTGATTTTCTCGACAGTCGTCCGCCCTTTTATCAGCCAGCTGTGAAAATGACAGGCGCATGTTTGCCGAAGGAAATGTGTATTTTGAAAGTCAAATTTAATTTCGGTACCATCTTTTGCTCTCAGAACAAACACCGCATCCCTCCCCCAATTTGCGGAGCAAATCATTTCGTTCGCCTCGAGAAACCTTTTTTGGGTTGAAAAGCGAACAGAATGAAGTGCCTCGCGTGGTGGTCGGGCGACGTCTCACTTTTGAGATTCGTCGTCCAGCAAAGTTCTTTGTTTTCTGTTAAAGATTTGAATTTGAAATAACAACAGTTGATTAGTTCAGAGAGGTCGGAATTGATTTGCACGCCTAATATTAGCGGTTACCGATAGCAGAACGTCGAAATTTCCGAGGCATTGGAGCGCCTCGGCGAGCGACGACGGCGACGTTAACACGAAACCTCATGAATGTTGCAGACTTCTTCTGAAAGTTCCCCATCGTTGCGCGCGTTACCTCCGCCGGAGTTGGAGCTTCCTTTAATATTTTAATGGCGGTAAGTTGAGACCGGGTCGGAGCCGGTTTACGGAACGTGTTTGCGATTTAACGAATCTATTTCACAGACACATGCACACGCATGGGAAATAATAATCCTCGCATTTCGTAGGTCGCATTATCAACATCGTTTGTCGGTCTGTCGTGGAAATCGCTAATAACAGCCCCGTGACGATTTTTACCCGCGAATAGCAGCGGGTTCGCAGCTTTACAACTTTCTTCCACGCGTGTGTTATTTATCAGAGCTGCGTGTAATATCCGGTTGTACGCGGCGTTCCTGACCTATCACGTTATGATAAATGGTGCGCTCGACACTTAGGTCTGCCAGCGATTTTCTCGCTCTACCCAGGTAGCAGCTACTCGTTCCTTATCGTGTCGCGACGTTACGTGTTATTAAACCGTCGACACACCACCAGGTTGCAAAAGTACCGGCAAACGCATACCCGTGGAAAAATTTCGAAAAACGTATTTCACCAAACTCCATCCGTTCATTGTTGTGCATAAATCTCGGCTTTTACACGAGCGTATCTTACTCGCGTAATACGAGCTTAATAAATTATTATATTATTAGCACGAAACACTGGGAAAGAAAGTTTTTGCTTTTTTGTCATTTTAATCGCACAAGTGGCAGAATTCTAGTCGATAAGTGCGAGTTACAAATAACAAGGATAATATTGTAATCCAAAAAAGTCAAGAGCAGAAGATGGAAGTAGTGAAGAAAAAAAGAATTCAAGTCAATAAAAATGTCGGTAAGGAAACGAGTTTGAAAAACCGGAACCGAAGAGAACCATTTGATTTAAACGGTTCACCGGTACTTTCATTGTCCGGAAAACCAAAACCGGAACCGGCATTTTCATTCGGTCCCTGATCGACACATTGCCGGCCGATTGAAGGTCAGTTTCACAACCCCCGATTAACCCGACCGACCGGTTAAGTATGTCAGCTGTGATTGGTCATTTCCGCCCTGAGACTACTGATATGCCTCCGTCCCGCTTCACTAAGCTTCATCACGCTCGCGTGCGACGGAAGTGGAAGCTCATACCGAGCTTAACCGCGCCGTAGCAACGCCGACCGCGAGGGAAAATGATTTTCTCTTCTCCTACTGGGAAATCCGCGGGATGTTTGATAGTCGCGTGAATTCGCGCGGCGTCTCGAGTTATATCGCTAATGAATTATCCGGTTGTACAACGCGGAGGGGGTTGCGACTCTCCGAGGAAATCGATGTGACGTACCCCTCGGAAGCTCTACGTCGCGCAAATACCAAGTGCCGCAGTTTCCGGCGTCAAATCGCGCCCCGTCTTCCGCTCGGAGAACGATATCCGTTTTACGATTCTCTCGTGTGAACGCGAAACGACGCAACGTTCTATTACGGTGACACAACTCGGTTACAACGCGCGACTGTACTCGCGAAAACGACAAACAGAGTCTGGAAGATATCCTTAGGAAGCATTTAATCCGTGATGTTTTAAGGACCGTCTACGTTGGGACTAAGCAATGATAAGTAAAGGACACTTATACATCGGAAGTAAGCAGTGATTAATAGGAAGTGAAATATCGGCCGGTAATAAGACGGTAGGGAGTAGAAAATACGGGGTGTCCCAAATGAAGCTTCGTTCCCGTGGTGTGCAATTAGAACTGGTGAAACTGAGCGAAAAAGTCCCATATTTCGCAAATAACACGCAACATTTCGAGTTATCAATGATTGAAAATGGCCATGTATACAGGCTTCTTTAATTAATTACTCGAAATTTTGCATGTCATTTGCAAAAAACTTTTTTGTTCAGAATGCCCTAATCTACAAATATATGACAGTTGTTGCACCTAATGACAGACATCGGTATTTTGAACTTTGACCCTTGAACCTTGAACTTCGTCGTTAGATACAATAGTTGTCATATACTTGTAGATTAGACTATCTGGAAGAAAAAAGTCTCTCACCATTTTGCAAATAACACGCAAATTGTTGAGTTATTAATTAAAGAAGCCTCTAAAAATAAGAAATCGACCAATCGTATTCGAATGTAAGAAGAATAATCGACTATGATCGGTTCGTTTCTCACTCTCACTTCTTATAAACGTACATCTATCGCCCATTGTAGACCACGTTTAAACGATCTCGAAAAGCTCTCTTACTCCTTACTCCTGTTTCTGCTATCTCTGATATAGAGGATCCCTTTAGACTTCCGCAGCCGGAGAAATATGTAAATCGGCTTTCAAGTTGGTGCTGCACCCTTCGTGAATTTCTTCCCGATGTTTCGCGAACATTTCAGCTCGACTTCTCCGGAAAGAAGTTCCGGCACTTTCAGATCGCACTTCCTCTCGAAGAAGTGAACTGGAAAATTCCCGAAACATCGAAAACACTTCCGTGAAGGAGGAAGCTAAATTAAGCAGTCCTCGAAAAATTCTGTGAGAATCGTTTCGATTTATTTCACGATATTCCCCAAATTTTTCGGAGCGGAATCAAAATATCGGGGACTTCATCCTCTCTCTCTCTCTCTCTCTCTCTCTCTTTCGGTAATGTGAAGTTCGAATGACGAAGTTCGGATGATCGCGTGGCTTCGTCGGAAACTTAGCGGTCGGCGCGTCGAGCCATCGAGACGTGTCGAGCGTTCCGAAACGCGTCGCGGCGCCTCTCGGCGACGCAGCATCGATCGGGGTTGCGGGGACCGCCGACGGAAGAAGAGGAACCAGTTCCGGGTGAGCGAGGCCGGCCCGATCCTGGCGGAGTTAAGTAATTTGTCGTTGCCGATGGGTTAATGTTATCCATCACTGAGCGGGAATTTACGATGTAATAAGGCCGCGCGATTCCCGCTCGATCCATCTCGAGTGTCTCGTCTCCGGCTTCGCTAACCCGCTTCGCCCACCCTTCCCCCCCCCCCTCCGGTTCCTCTCTTCCTTATTGCCGAGTCCTCTCGCGAGCGAGAGTCGTTCGTTCGCTCGCCTACCCTTCCGTTCGCGTCTCCCAAAACGCTCGAGCTTCTTACGAAGGAGGGAGGGGGCGCTATCGACTCACGATATTAATTAATACGTTCGGGTCGCCGGGTCATCGGATGATTGGTGGTCGTGCGAACAGATGGTTATCGCAGGATATTCGAAGGATACCGCGATCTCCCGCCGGCGATTCCGGACGAGCAGCTCTTCGAGGATCGCCGAGACCCTGAATTTTCTCGACCCCGTTTTCGATTCTCGTCATCACACGACACCCTTCCCGGGTGCAGATTTTCGCGCCCGTTTCATCTTCCCTTCGTCAAAGGGGAAAGAGGAAGTAACAAAAAGTCCGCCGACGTTGCGATATTCATCCCTCGATTCGTTGTTTTTCTGTTATTTTCACTGACTGCGAACTTTCGACGATTACAGCCGATGGGATTCCCCCTGTCTGAAAATGCATCGGAATGTTGAAGGCCCTCCTCGATCAGGAAGCTTCGAATTCGACGATTCGCCCAAAAACCGCGCACGCCGCGATTTCCTTATTCGAACGCGTCCTCGTAACGAGACGCAATTATGATTGTGTTTGCAGCGGCTACTAACGCGTAATCAGCCGGCTATTTGGATTATTACAAGCAGGCGTCTCTCAATATGTCATAAATCGCAGGAAGTCGTAATTAAATAGTCGTGATATCGAGAGAACATGTCGACGGATCAACTATCACGGAGGAAATTACGTTCTCCATCTTCTCCTCTTCTCTTCCTCTTTCTCTCTCTCTCTCTTTTCCTCCCATTACATAGATATATTGTGCGATTATTAATAATACAATTATTATTAATATCCCTCGTTATAATATCTCTCATCCCGTAGCTTCGAGTATCAAAACATCCTTCATCCGATATCGATATCGGCGCAACTCATCGATCGCCGGAGAACGAAAGTTTATATTTAATCGTCGCCGGACCGAATTAACACGCACGTTAACGAACGTGTATCGGTAATATATAAATCCGATATCGCCCAACTATTTCAATAATGTGTCACTACGAAGCGAGGCATCGGCTCGGCATTATGTTAAACCGAAGATTCGCGAACTATGCACCGCGAAATTCCGGTGCTCCGCAAGATCCTTTCGGGAATTTCGCAGGAGCGACAAAACTTCGCGTGTTATTTTCAAGAAATGCGTGAAAAACGCACGTTCATTCACCGTGCACGTCGCGCCTTGATTTCTCGACAGATCG